GGTGGGGTATTTGAACTCCAATTTTTCCCAATACGTGGTGTATTTGAACGGGAATTACAAATATATGTAGGGAATTTGACCTGACCAAAACGTCAAAATCCAAATACCCGGGGGTATGCCCGGGGGGGGGGATGTCAAGGTTTCGATTTGATTCGCGCATAAACTATATTACTATAAAATTCAACTGCAATTTCAGTTCCCAGCTCAGAACGTGTCATTTGAATATAGGCGCAGTCGAAACTCCGAATTCGTCTGTAGTTTATGTTGGAGACGGCTTCACCACGTATACACAATTAAATCCGCATATAACGTTATAGGCCTACATAATGCTACTAAACAGTACACACTACGCTTCTCTGTAGACAAAATTATACGTACTGTTTAATAAACAAGCAGGAGTGTTTTACTAGATTTAAAAACACAAGCACGTATAACGGCTTCAAACGCAACTTCCTTTGTATTCTTTATATAAAGAATACTAAGTATAGGAGGTTTTATTTAAAAAAATACTAATGAGAAGTGTTTTGTGAGGTATAAAGTCACTGCACGTGACGCATTATCAGTGAATGATTTAAATAGCTAAAAAGCTTATAAATTATTAATGATGTTTGAAATATTAATTCTAACATGCACTCATTAATAGTTCATAAGCTTTTTAGCCTGTTAAATCACTGATAATGCGTCACGTGCAGTGCTATTTTATACCCGATAAAACATTCCTCATTAGTATTCTTTATATAAAACTTTCTCCTACTAGTAGAGTTAATAGTATTCTTTATATAAAGAATACTAATAAAGTTGCGTTTGAAGCCGTTTAATAAACTCGCAGTACGTGTTTTATTAGGTCTAAAACCACTCGGGCTGCGCGCTCGTGCTTTAACCTAATAAAACACTCCTGCTCGTTTATTAAACAGCCATAATCAATTATTTTAAGTACTTTGTATTAATAATGTCATTAATGTGTAGATGGTGTGTATATAGACTGATAGTCTATATACCGACTATATATACCGTACACATGCACTCGTATTCCCACAACACATATTGCTTATACAATAGCAATCTTGAAATTACTCAACATTTAAGACATCATAAAACTACCATACCTCGGAGATAATCGTTCTCTCCCCTTTCTCCAAGTAATAAACCCTGCCAGTAGCGCACGGTATTGTATTGCTTGTATTAAGCGCAGAAAATACCATGCAATCATCCAACTGTCTCTCATTATTGCGAGTCACGACAGGCACTAAACTTATATTATCAACTTTGCAATGATGACGGGTCTTGGCAACGTAAAATACGGGCGCAATATTATTCCAAATGTTTACAATATTGTTCCCAGTAAGTAAGAGGAAGGTTAACACTTGAAATCGACCAGGGTTGCCCATTGCAACGAGCAAGTTATCAACGTGAGGTGCCACCATTTTTAAGAAAGCTTATAGCCACAGGATATGTCTGAGTGAAAAAAGTAGAGAGGAACCCCGCTATTTTGAACAGCCAAGGGAAGATAGGCCGTATTACAGAATTAGAAAATAATTGTTAACTCATTCATTCATTAAAAATCTAAAAGTAAATCTCTAATGCATCAGATTAACATATAAGATATTATTGCAGTACTAACAAAACGCCGCCATGGAGCGTTCTAAGTCGCTGGATTAAGGAGTATGCAACTTTAAAAAGCCGTGTTGTAAAAGTATAACATGCACCTCAAACACTCATTAATAATTCATAAGCTCATTGGCAAATCATGTCAACCATAATGTGTCACGTGCAGTGGCTTTAAACCTGATAAAACACTCCTAATTAGTATTCTTTATATAAAGAATACTAAGGCCATATAAAATAAATTCCTTGATTCTTATCACCGCCCGACGATATTTTGGTTTCCGCGTTGATATATTTTTGTATTTTGTTATAAAATATAAATTTACCGCCCGACCGAGCATCTTCAGAGATTTAGTTACTTTTATATTTTATATTGGAATTTTTGCGATATAAAATTGTTTTATCGTTAATATTGCAACATGTTAAGGGATGCTTGGAATACTGAAGGAAAAAATGGGCTTATAGCCTTATTACAACGATTTGTGTGGACCCTTATGCATGTTCATTAGCGCATGTGCAATTATCCACTTACATAGCGTTCTTCTATAATATATTTAAGGGCAAATATAAAAAGACCTCCCTCTCCAATTTTTTAAATTTTAAATTTTGACATAAAATATAAAATATAAACCTCCCGCCTCATGGGAGTTTTTAAAATTTAGCGATGAGAATCAAGGAATTTATTTTATATGGCCTAATAAGGCAGTATCTATTGTAGTCGTGTCCTCATTAGTATTCTTTATATAAAGAATACTAATAAAGCAGTATTTCTATTGAATTTCTGGTCGTGTTTGAAGCCGTTTAATAAACTCGCAGGTCGTGTTTTATTAGGTCTAAAGCCACTCGCGCTGCGCGCTCGTGGCTTTAAACCTAATAAAACACTCCTGGTCGTTTATTAAACAGTACTTAAAGAACAGCGCCGTGGCATAAAGGAGGAGGTGGGGCCCTTAGGAATATTTGGTGTGGGGGGCCTTGTTGACCGAGATATTATATTTATATTGAATATTTATGGAATGTTCTGAAAAATTCCATGTCTATAACAATAACAATAACAATGGCATAGTACAAAACATGGACTGGACTGGACAGTTGGACTGGACAGTTGGACTGGACTGGACTGGACAGTTGGACTGGACTGATTTTTACATTTTCTCTATTCTTGACTTGCATGTCACCCGCCATGTCAGTTGGCATGGCGCAAAAGAATATTTTATCACAGAATAGATATACCATGACAAGTATTTTGTGATTTTATCAATGAACATTGTCTGGTGTGTACCAGGAGGAGATTGGTTGCAAATCAAGAATATAACGTTTTACACCTGAATTACGTTCGATTTTCGGAAATTGAAATAGTTTACCTTCGCCGATGACCTCACTTTATAACTGGAGTGAAATCTCTTTTAAAGCGAAAGAAACCCCAGTAAGTAGAATATAATACAATACCAAACATAAACTACTTATCCGGTCTTTGCTGTGGGCAGCCTGCTCGCATACGTATTAAATTTCGATATTTTAGTCTGCATGGCCATGGGCGTAGAAAGATCGATAATTGGGGGGGG